TTGTTTTAAAATCATCTTATCTGGGGGCGCCTGGGTGGCTCAGTTGTTAAGCATCTGCCTTCGGCTCAGGTCATGATCCCAGAGTCCTGGGATCGAGCCCCGCATCGGGCTCCCTGCTCCGCGGAGAGCCTGCCTCTCCCTCTCCCACGGCCCCTCTTTTGTTCCTGCTCTTGCTATCTCTCTCTGTCAAACAAATAAATAAAATCTTAAAAATAAAATAAAATAAAATAACTGTTATATGATTAATGAATGCTGTGCCCTGAGTGTATTTTTTTAAGACATGATTCCTTACTAAGAAAATCTGTTCTGGATAAAAAAAGTTTTTTCCAGCTAAACCCTTTAGTTTTGACCATGTCATCTGCAAAATGGAGCCAAAATCTTAACCATATAATACAGTTTGCATAATGGTTACCAAGCTCTTCAAACGGGAAATGCTATATGCACCTTAATCAATGTATTAGGCAAATACTTAACAGACATTTTCTTCTTGGATCAGCTTAGAATTTTCCCTTCTTTCCAGATCCTACATATAGTTCTTTTCTGGAGAAAAACAGACTTGTTTCAGTATTTGTCACTATTAGCATATTGTCACAACTCTGGAACTCATAAAGTGAAGTCTGCCTTATAAGAAAACCAAAATTTCTTTAATAAAGCTATTTTTTTTCTTAAAGATTTTATTTATTTATTCGACAGAGAGAGCGAGAGAGTACAAGCAGGGGGAGCAGTAGAGGGAGAGGGAGAAGCAGGCTTCCTGCTGAGCAGGGAGCCAGATGTGGGGCTCCATCCCAGGACCCTGAGATCATGACCTGAGCCAAAGGCAGACGCTTAACCATCTGAGCCACCCAGGCGCCCCGAAAACCAAAATTTCTTGATTTATGTATCTTGAGATTATTATTTCATGCTCTGCTTTTCTGATTTCCCATTTGTAAAGTGGATATTAGTAATACCTACCTCACAGGGGTGTTGTGAGGATTTGTATTAAAATTTTGTTAAGTTTGGGGCACCTGGGTGGCTCGGTTAGGTGTGCGTCTCTTGATTTCAGCTCAGGTTATGATATCAAGGTCCTGAGATCGAGCCCCACGTTGGGCTCCATGCTGGGAGTGGAGCCTGCTTAAGATTCTCTCTCCCTCTCCCCCTGCCCCTCTACCCCCTTCTCTAACAACAAAAAAATTGTGTTAAGTTCTCTTTAGTATTTTTTTTTTAAGATTTTATTATTTATCTATTTGACAAAAAGAGACACAGCGAGAGAGGGAACATAAGCAGGGGGAGTGGGAGGGGGAGAAGCAGGCCTCCTGCCGAGCAGAGAGCCCGATGTGGGGCTCGATCCCAGGACTCTGGGATCATGACCTGAGCCGAAGGCAGACGCTTAACGACTGAGCCACCCAGGTGCCCCTCTCTTAGTATTCTCAATAAAAACCAACCATATAAAGAAAACTATATGTGTTCTATAGCTAAACCTATTAACTTCAGGATTCCAACCTGTAAACTCTAGAATGTCTTAGAAGCAGTCATATATTATTTAATACTCAGTAATTAATTGACACAATTCTTATTTTTTAGAAATATTCTAAACATATTGTTTAGACAGTAATGTTGCTGGAATTCCTTTTCTACTGTAGTTTAACCACCTGTACTTCTCTTTAGCCTTTAAGAAGAAGGATATTAGTTCTTTGGTATTACAGGGAATAAAACCTTGCCAGTTTCAGCCACCTGGAAAGTTCCCCCAAACATATTGTTTACATATGGGAAAAGGAACAAAAGCAATGGAGAAAATATCGTTTTCATTTCTTTGATGTAGATCATCTAAAAAGTAAATAGGGACAAGAAATAGAGTGGGGATAATAACATAGTGATTCATTATTGGAAGGAATTCATAATGGAAAGGCCTCACTTTATTTATTTTTTTAAAAGACTTTATTTATTTGACAGAGACAGAGCGAGAGAGGGAACACAAGCAGGGGGAGTGGGAGAGGGAGAAGCAGGCTTCCCGCCAAGCAGGGAGCCCGATGCGGGGCTCGATCCCAGAACCCTGGGACCATGACCTGAGCCGAAGGCAAACACTCAACGACTGAGCCACCCAGGCACCCCGGGAAAGGTCTCACTTTAAACGGAAGGAAATACATGTTAATCATGGAAAAAGAGAGTCTGGAAGATGGTACAATTCCATTAATGTTTATCTGCACAGGCAAATTCTTACTTTGTAACCCAGATCCTTGATAAGTGTAATTTTTTAGTAGTATTTGAGGTAAAATAAGCCACATGAAGAGTTTCTATAATGTAATTTGTGTCTGTATGTTTTAAACTAAATGTAGCTCTGTGGTATTTTATTATAATTCTTAAATTTCTACAAGTGAAATCTAGAACTGATTTTTCTCTGCTGTATTGCCATGTTTGTATGGTTGGACTTTTTGAAAACTGGTAGGATTATACAGTCCCAAGTCTGGATGTCTTAAATACAAGGAATCACAGACTGATTTCTGTCTTCGAGACCTGGAAGAATCTGTTGTGCGTCAGCGTGCGTCTGTGCTACATTCGTTTACTTAGTAGATACTGCTCCAACGCGTTGGACATGAACTGCCATCAACTCTTCTGTTTTGTGCCAAATAAAGTCATTTAGTCAGACTAGATCAGATATCAACTTAAACTCATTTCAGAGAAACTTGGATTTCAAAAATGTGTGCAATAAAAAAGGCCCAGTGAAGAAATCTTCCACGTACAAGTAACACATGGCGAATCCGGAGACTGGTGAGCAGTGCGCTGTATGGCTGAGCTCTTCCACCTTATGGACTTTGAGTTTGCTTCAGAAACATTATTTTAGAAAGTTTGGTATCCTCTGTTTGGAATGAAAACAGTGCATTTCATGTATTTTATCATGGCAAATAAATTAATGTGACTTGATTATAAACAAAACCTTTTTTTAGTCCAGCTTATAGACTGTGTTCTCATTTTACAGCAGGGTCTGCCCAATGTTGTCCTCCTA